GAGGACTTGCCAAAGGTGTGGAACGAGAAGATGAAGAGCTATCTGGGATTGGAGACGCTCGGTAATGACAAGGAGGGCTGCCTGCAGGATATTCACTGGGCGTCTGGGTCTTTCGGGTACTTCCCGACGTACTCCCTTGGCGCAATGCTGGCAGCGCAGCTCATGAACTCTGTCCGGAGGGAGCTCGGGGAAGAGGTTGTTGAGAATTGTATTCGCAAGGGCGAGCTTGGCAAACTGTTTTCGAAACAGAATGAGAAGATATGGCAGCACGGCTGCTCACTGACAACAGACGAGTTGATCAAACAGGCCACTGGAGAGACCCTCAACCCTGAGCACTACCGCAAGCACCTCGAGCGTCGCTATCGTGATGACAGCAACTAGGTTTGCGACATGCATAGTTTGTTGGGCATTTTCATTTTTCGTTTTTTTTTAATTGTTTGAAAGGATATATTTGTTGTAGTTCCGTTTCTTCCTGACTTTTTTTGGTTCTCTCTTCCTCGCTCGGTCTCCACTTCATATCGGATAAATGTTGTGGTGGGCATGAAGTCCTATTTGTTGTGGTTCTTTTTGGGTAGATAACCTTGCGGACGTGACGACTGGTCCATTGGAAAGTGACTGCTGACCCGTCGCTGTGCGCGTAGGTCGTGTGTGTGGTGGGGTATATTTTCTTTTGCGCTTCTACTTCCATCTTGTTGGAGACACTCAAGAGTTATCGGTTTTTTTTTGTGTTCGATTGTGTCGTCAAGAGCAATGAGGGCCTACAAGGAACTTGAGCGGATATTTACGCAACTCTACCGCTACACGCATCTGCTGTCGCTGGCTGACTGGGACTCGCAGACGATGATGCCACGCAAAGGTGCCGACGCCAGGGGTGCTGCCATGGCTGAGCTGCAGGTGCGCATGCATGAGGTTATCACTGATCGCCATATTCAGGTGCTCATTGATGAGGCACAGAAGGCTGCAGAGGATCTCGAGCCACTTCAAAGGGCGAATCTGCGTGAGATGCGCCGGGCATGGGAACTGGAGAATCTTCTCCCGGAGGACTTCGTGGAACGCAAGACTATTCTGACAACCAAGGCGCAGCAGTTGTGGCAGACGTGTCGTGCCGAAAACGACTTCGCCGGCTTTCTCCCGACGCTCAAGCAGCTGATTGAGCTGTACCGGGAGGAGGGAAAACTCCGTGCCGGGACATCTGGCAAGGATCCATATGAGGCGCTTGTGGACATCTATGAGCCGGGCATGACGCTTAAGCGCCTCGACGAGATCTTCGGCAGCGTAAAGTCATGGCTGCCGGCGCTGCTGAAGGAGGTGCAGGCGAAGCAGAAGTCGCTCAACGCGTCGATCGTGGAGCCCAAGGGTCCGTTCCCCGTGGAGAAGCAGGAGGCGCTTGGCCGGTTCTGCATGGGCGTATGGAAGTTCGACTTTGACGGCGGCCGCCTGGACGTCAGCGCCCACCCCTTCTGTGGGAATTCGAAGGAGGACGTGCGCATCACCACGAACTACCGTGAGACCGACTTCGACAAGAGCCTTCTTGGCGTGATCCACGAGACGGGCCACGCCAAGTACGAGCAGAACTGTGGACCCAAGGGGTTCGAAACGCAACCGGTTCGCGACGCGCGCTCATTGGGTGTGCACGAAAGTCAGTCGCTGTTTGCGGAGATGCAGATCGGCCGCTCTGGTGCGTTTATGGAGTTTCTCGCTCCCAAGCTATCGGATTACTTTGGTGATCAGCCCGCCTTCACCGCTGCCAATATGAAGAGGCTAACGCAGCGTGTGCAGCCTGGCCGTATTCGTATCGACGCCGATGAGCTCTGCTACCCTTTGCACGTTATCCTGCGTTATGAGATTGAGCGTGACCTGATGGATGGCAAGATGGAGGTGGAGGACTTGCCAAAGGTGTGGAACGAGAAGATGAAGAGCTATCTGGGATTGGAGACGCTCGGTAATGACAAGGAGGGCTGCCTGCAGGACGTCCATTGGTCTGGTGGAATGTTCGGGTACTTCCCGACGTACTCCCTTGGCGCAATGCTGGCAGCGCAGCTCATGAACTCTGTCCAGAAGGAGCTCGGGGAAGAGGTTGTTGAGAATTGTATTCGCAAGGGCGAGCTTGAAAAAATCTTTTCGAAACAGAATGAGAAGATATGGCAGCACGGCTGCTCACTGACAACAGACGAGTTGATCAAACAGGCCACTGGAGAGACCCTCAACCCTGAGTACTACCGCAAGCACCTCGAGCGTCGCTATCGTGATGACAGGGGTTGAATAGAAGTTTAGTGGTTTGCCCTATTCTTGCGTGGAATTCATTCACCATTTGTTGTAACAGAATTAATTTTCATTGCTGAGGCAAATCAGAGGTTAATTAGTGGAGGAGGTGTTGCTAACGACGTCGATATCTGTTTTGATGTTTTCATGATTGCTGGATTCCAGTGGTTCCATTGGGTGTGCGTCTGTGGGTTTGTGTGTAGTGATGAACTTCAGAGTGTGGTTCTTTTGTTTTCTCTTTTGTATGTGTGCATTTGTAGTTGTAGGAAATAGATCAATTCGCTAATAGGTCGCGCCAAAGCGTAAGGGCGGGGTGTACGCTTAGCAGCAGGTGCCCCAACCACAGTAAGGAGTCAGGAGTCGTGACGAAGACCAATATAGAGGTGAGAGAGAAGGGAAGAGGGGGAGTTGCTGAAGGGAGCAGGCACGAAAGAGGGGGAGGCTGCGGGTTGTGATGCCTGGCGCTCCAGAGGTGGAAGAGGGGCGCATTACTGTGTGCGTGCGTGCCCGCCCCCTCAATGAGCGAGAGAAGCGCTTAAAATCCCCACAGTGTCTGCTCTTCAATCAGGGAAAGACGGTGAGCATCTACAAGAAGAGCCTTCCTTCTGATGCTGGTGAGGTGAAGGACGAGACAGGTAATAGCGTGAAAGTATTCACGTTCGACCGCGCGTACGACAGCGATGTAGGTCAATCCGTTCTGTACGATGACTTGGGCGTGCCGGTCCTGAAAGCAAGCTTCTGCGGGTTCAATACGTGCATCTTCGCGTATGGCCAAACCGGCAGCGGGAAGAGTTACTCCATGATGGGCCCGTCGGGCGGCCGTGACGTGTTTGTCGACCCCGGCATTATCCCTCGTCTCTCCAAAGGGCTCTTTGCGATCGTGAAGGAGAGGCTCGCGGCGAAGGAGCAGGAGCTGGAGGCGGCGCTTGCTGCCGGCGAGGAAAACAGCCAGACGATGCCGGCCAAACTGAAGATCAATGTTGTGGTGAGTTACCTGGAGATATATCAGGAGCGCGTCTACTGTCTGCTGAACTCCAAGTGCGAGAACCTCAAGGTGCGTGAACACCCGGTGCTTGGTGTATACGTGGAGGGTCTTACAGAGCTGCAGACAGATTCCGAAGATGGTATCATGCGGCTCATGAATGGTGGCAACCAGAGCCGTCACACAGCAGCAACAAAGATGAATGATCGGTCCAGCAGATCACATGCCATCTTTGCCATCTCGCTTGTCCAGACGATAATAAGCGAGACCACGAAGGGTGAGAAAGTGTCCACGGAACTGCGTTCGAAGATTAACCTCGTCGATCTAGCTGGTAGCGAGCGGGCGAAGTCGACTGGAGCTGAGGGGGACACGCTTCGCGAAGGTGCCAATATCAATAGGTCGCTTACTGTCCTTGGACTCGTAATCAGCGCCCTGGCGGATATGGGCAAACATAAAACTGATGCGGCAGCTGCAAAGCACGTGCCGTACCGTGACTCAACTCTGACATTCCTGCTCAAGGAGTCGCTTGGTGGGAACAGCAAGACCTTTATGCTCTCCACACTCAGTCCAGCAGCGGCGAACTATGAGGAGACGCTGAGTACGCTTCGTTATGCCGATCGCGTCAAGGCGATTGTTACGCGAGCTGTCGTCAATGAAACGGCGGGCGACAAGAAAATACGCGAATTACAAGAAGAAGTCACACGATTAAAAGAGAAGATGCGGCACTACGAGGAGCTTGTCGGACGTGGAGGGATTAGAATTAATGTTCTGAAAACGGACCACTCCATGCTGAATTCCACCGCCAACGACACGGATTCGGGGACGGTCATCGAAGAAGATGTTGATTACATCACCGCCCAGACACCGCGCCAGCCAAGAGATGCGGCTGTGCTGGAGGCGGAGCTTCACCGGGCGGAACAGTTCATCCAGAAGATGACCGGAGGAGAGGTTGGTGGCGTGGAGTCACTGAGGATACGTGATCTGTACCGCACCATGCCGAGCGTGAAGGTCAACCGGAGCGAGCCATTCCTGCTGAATGTGGACGGTGCCGGGGATTGGGTGGTTGAATACCTCGTTGCGGGTGTGACGTACTTGGGCACTGAAGCAGGAGAGAACAGTAAAAATGATCGTTACATCGTTGTGAGTGGAGCAAACACCACGGGTATTGCCCCACGGCATTGCTGCTTTGTGCGGCAGGAGGGCGGGTGTGTGTTGCTGCGCCCGCTGGGTGGCAACGCGACGTACATCAACGACGAGGTGGCGCCAGTGACCAAGGACACAGTGCTGACGAGCGGCACGGTGGTGTGCATGGGGACTGAATACCTGGAGTTCAAATTCACCGACCCCTCCGCACCGCAGCCGACAGGGCGCCGGCGCGCTGTTCGTGCCCAGGAGGGCGGCGCGGTGACATCGCCGAACCTCAACACTAACGAATTGGCGGTTTCCAGCAGTGGGGACAATTCAAGGACATCCCCGATGTGTGGCAGCAGCACGGGAATTGTTGTTGGTAACAGCAGCTCTGGCTGTGGTAGCGGTGCCTATCCCGACATCCCTGCGCTGCGACTGAAGGAAGCTCTGCAGCGGCGGACGCAGAGTAGCATTCGTGGGTCGACACTGCACGGTGACCCGATGTCACCAACTGGGAGGTCGTTGCTGTACACCAACCGCGGCAACAACGTCGTCGGCGTCACGCCAAGGACCACGCTGGCGACGGGTCGAGTGGTATTTGCGCCCAACGACGAACTGACAACCGTGTATCGCCACACATTTCTCTTCATAGGCGATAGCAATAGTGGGAAGAGTGCTTTGCGTGAAAATATACAAAAACCAGATAAGTGGTACTCCATCTTTGCCAATGACAAGCTGCATGCGCATCCAACCTTTGGTTTGGAGTCGTCGTTGATTGAAGCCCCGACGGGGCACCACCCAGTGCAAATAAATCTCATGGAGTTGAGCGGAAAGAATTGTTTCTCTCTACTTGAGGAACTGTTGCCGACCCGTCGCGTGACGTACGTTCTGTGCTTCTCATTGTGTGATTTCCCTTCGTTGGAAATGCTGAAACCTCACCTTGAACTTATTCTCTGCAATACCGCTAGTCGAGACGCGGCGGTGCTTCTCATTGGCACCCACCTCGATGAGTCATTGCTCCCCCGGGGAGGGTTGGCACGGGTTTTCGCTGGTATCGAGGCAGAAGTGAACAATTACTTACGCCTTCTGCAGGTACACCCGGAGATGCGCCCATCTATATTGGGCCACTTTGCGGTGGATAATGTTAACCGTGTCGTATTTTCCCCTTCAGTTGCAAAAATGAGAAAGTTCCCTGAGTTGCTCACTTGGTTTGCGGAGCAGGCGATAATACGGTGTCGTAACGACCCGGAGTTTCCGAACGCACAGGTCCCCGTGCGGACGGTGGCGTTAGCAAAGAAGATCCGCCATCTCTACCGCGAGGGTAAGTGGTGTCTTTCGTCTTCAGAGTACAAGACGATCGCAAAGGCCGTGAATGAGCGATATGGCATGAGTCTAGAGGATCTGCATCAGCATACGCAGCTGCTGGCGAGCTGGGGAGTCTTGCACCACCATTACAAGCATCACACCATGAAGAAGCACATTGTCGTGGATGTCCCATGGGTGTTCCGCACAATTGCCGTTCTGGCCTGCTGCACACCGATGCAAGCCGCCCAAACATACAATCAATCTATGCAGTGGTCATTGCCCCTCGTATCGCGCCCCTACGTGGTCAACAGTATGTCTAACGTCCTCCCTTTCGACGCGGATGCGGTACAGGCTGCCGACGTTTTCGGTCTACTCGGTCAGGGAGTTCTGACGATGAAGACGGCGCGGGTTCTCTTTAGCGGTGTGCTGGCGGAGAAGAACTTCGGCCCTGGAAAACTGAGCGGTCTGCTGGAGCTATTGCGTAGTTACGATTTTATCGTACAAGGCAGTTCTCTCCAGTTCTCTGTGTTGGGGAACCTCCGCAGAGATGTAGTACGAGTGTGGTATGAAAACAGTGAAGAGGACAACGCCGTCGGCAACAAAAGAAATACTGATGATACACGTGAGGTGCAGAAAGCACCAGTGGTGGAGCCGCAACCAGCCGGCGATGCTACATCACCTAGAAGGGAGTCCGAGTTGTTTGTGCTGGTCCCCGCCTGTTTCAGGAATCAGGCGCCGTCCGCCTTATGCGTACACCTGCCCACCTTTCTCTTCGGTCCCTTCTACCGCTTCGTACTCAACGCGGTGCCGCACAACTTTTTCTCTCGTGTTGTGTGCCGCATTGCACATTACGCGGAGAAAGTGTACCTCGGCCCCGTCACTGCGCGCTGCGTACCTGTGGAGGATCTTGACGGCGAGGGCGAGCACGGCGGCAGGACTGGCAGGAGTGCGCGTGGAAGGGTGAGCTGTATCGCGCAGGTCGTGGACAAGAGCGAGTTCTGGGGGTGCACCGCGTGGGTGACGGGCTCCGCTAGCAGCCGTGCGCTGCTGCGCATGGTGCAGCATTCGCTCCTGATCACATTTCACGACTTCAACGATGATGAAGACTTCTACGACGGTCTCCGCCGCGTGGTGCGCAATGTCATCTCGGAGAGCCCAGGTGTGGTATGTGAGGAGAGCATTCTCTGCACGCACGGTATCCTCGACGAGGTTGAGAAGGCGGGCGAGGTGCACGGCGACAAGACATACTGGCACTGCGTGGACCAGAACCTCAACTCACTCGATAAGATACGTCAGCGCGAGGAGTTTGCGCTCATGACGGCGCGTGTCAACACCGCGCGGCATCTGTCCCGCGACGCCGGCAAAGATGATGATGATGATGATGATGGTAACGATGATGCCAAAAACGGGAACGAGGAGGAGAGCGATATGGTGGTCCCTTTTGTGCGAAATCGCACGGAGTGCATAGACGAAGCGGCGTCGATGCGGCGTATCTGCGATTACTCGCTGCTGACTGATCCGGTACTGCATGGAGTGACGGCGGCGCTGCGCTCAATGAACGACGCACGCCGGCGTGGCAATATTGTGGAGCAGTGCAAATTGATGGACTGCCTCGTGGATGCTCTTGCACAGGCATAGAGCTGTGTAGCTGTGCGTAACTGTCACTGCTTTCTGGGTGCGTACCTCGTCGTTTTTGTGTGTGGCCGTCCAACCTTGCTGCATGTATGGACGAGCTGAACGGAGGAGGTCTCAAGCGACAGAATGATCGACAAACAAAAAAAGTATGTTGACTGCTTCTTTATGTTCTCTTCTCTTTTTGTGCGCTTTTAAATTCCCTTTCCCTCTCACACATTGCAGCGGTGCTGGTAGTGTTGCTGTTTTAATGTCAGTTGCTACCTCTTCGACTGCTTCTGCTTCTTGCATTCAGTTAATCAATGCTCCTGCACCGTCAAGGAGCAAGTCTTCAGTTGTTTGTCACGGTGTAAGTGTCCCGTCCCACACTTTCATTATTTTGCTCGGGGACGACCCATAAAACAAGACACTAAGGCTGTGGCGTGGAGAGATACTAGCAGGAGAGGAAGGAAGTGTGAAGTAGGACCTGAACCTTTTGGGGGGGGTGGGGGGTCTGAAGGCCCCTTGACAAGGCTGTGAGAAGTGCGCCCCCATTCGTTCTGATGTTTTTTTTTTTTGGCTACTAGAGTATATTTATCTTCCAATTTATACGTAAATAAACAAATATATATATTCACGTATAAACAGCTGCGACGCCAATGACAGCAGGAGACTGTCTCTCTCATTATTATCATTACACGTATACGCATACGCATGCGGTGCTGCGACTGCTACATCTCCTGTGCGCCACGACAAGGATGCACCTCGCCTCTTGCGCACAGTTTTGCAAATGAAATGAGGAGGGAAAAGAAAGAGCATATTACACGAAAAGAAGGAGGACACGACGCCGCGTGTGGGCGCTTGTGCTATCTGTCCTTTTGATACCTGATGTCATTGTTTTTTTCCCGTGTGTTCTCCCATTCCTGCACTGTACTCGGCAGAAAGTTTCAACACCTGTTGGCGATTACACAATAATAATAAGCACACACACATCATGTCCTCCGTGTACAAGCGACAGCGCACCGATTCGGTGTATGAGGAACGTAATGTCTCGGAGTTCGTTAAGAGTTGCGTCGAGTTCCGTTCCAACGTCACGTTCCACACCACCGTGGAGGGGAAGCAGCTGGCGAATGAGGTCCTGCAAGGTGCCCCACAGCGGTCACTGCGCGTCCTTCTTCTTGGCAGCCAGAAGCAGTTGAGCGACAAGGAGAGGATGGCCGCCTTTTTCCCCTATTACAGCAAGGCGGTGGAGACTGCGGTCGATGTCGCCCCCAGTGGCAAGGCCTACGTGGCGGATATTACGCCACATGTGCGTGTTCTTGTTGGCACGGTGCCCACCAAGGCGTCGCGCCACAACTGCCCGCTACGCCCAGATGTCATCTCCAGCATCGTGAAGGAAGCCCTCGCCCACGTCCGCGAGGAGGAAGACGGGAAAAAAGTCCACACGGGACTTGACATCTACTGCTGTGAGTCACAGAATGAGCTGTGTGTTGCCGCCGCCATTGCACGCGCGGCGAATCGCAACTTCTCTGCAAAGCGTGGTCGCGCAGAGCGTGGCTATTTATCGCGTGGCCCCACTGTTCGCGTCGTATTCGCGCCCAACACGGCGAAGCGCAGTCTCGCGGAGGCGGAGAAAGACTTCACGTGCGGCAGTCGGCACGCGCTCGATGTGGCGGCCTTGGTGGTGCAGCTGTGCCAACGTCTTGTGGACGCGCCGGCAAACCTGCTCGATACCACCACCTTCGCGGAGATTGCTTCCGGCCATGTGGCGAGCCTGTGCGCTATGGGCAGAAACGCCTCTATCGACATCCTCAGTGGCGAGGAGCTGCGGGAACGTGGCTACGGTGGCATCTACGGCGTCGGCAAAGCAGCGGAGTTCCCACCGCATCTTGTGACGCTATCGTATCAGCCACAAAACGGCATCGAGCCGCAGGAGAAGTTGGCATTTGTCGGCAAGGGTATCGTGTACGACACGGGCGGTCTCGCGATCAAGTCTGCGTCGAATATGTGTTCCATGAAGCACGACATGGGCGGCGCGGCGGCAACCTTCTGCGGCTTCCTTGGCCTGGCACTGCTTGAGGCGCCGCAACAGGTCTCCGCGGTGTTGTGTCTCGCCGACAACGCCGTCGGCCCGCGCTCGCAGCGCAACGATGACATTGTGCGCATGAAGTCCGGTTACACGGTTGAGATCAACAACACCGACGCAGAGGGGCGGCTCGTGTTGGGGGATGGCGTGTACCACGCCTCCGCCCTGCTACCGTACACACCAGACGTGATTGTCGACATGGCCACATTGACAGGCGCGCAGGGCATTGCGACTGGCCGCCGCCACGCCGCACTCTATGCTAACTCGGAGGAGATCGAGGGCCGTATGGTGCGGGCGAGTCGCAAATGTGGTGACCTCTGCTTTCCCATCGTGTACTGCCCGGAGTTCCACGCCAGTGAGTTCAGCAGTGGCGTCGCGGACTCCCGCAACAGTGTGGCGAACCGCGGTAACGCCTCGGCGAGCTGTGCGGCGTACTTCGTCGGCAACCACATCGACAGTAAATTCAAGGGTGCCTGGGCGCATGTGGACATGGCGTCGCCCGTCGGCCAAGATGACCCAACTGGGTTTGGCGTGGCGCTGCTCCTGCAGGCCTTTGCTTCGTCAATCTACTGCGCCGAATAGATTGTCGTGTGCATCTGTTATTGCTGCAACAGATGATGTGGCAGCACATAACTGTGGCGTATGTGGGACTATTCGGTTTACTGGGGGCTGGTAGGGTTAAGAAGAAAAAGAGAAACTGAAGATGATCAAACCGTCCCTGGAAAAGCAGATCATTGCATTGTTTTATCAGGGGAAGTAAGAGGGAACAGTGTTTGGAGGTGAGGAAGGCCACGTTAGTACAAAATGATGTTTCACGTCGTGTGAAGGTGGTTAAGCGATTCTTTGGCAAAGAAAGAAAGGCAAGTGTATTGGGAGTATGGGAGTTTGCGATAGACGAGAGGAAGTGTACTGCGAGGCGAAGAAAAAAATTGCCGCCTTTATTTGTGGCCCTTTCTGCCGCTCCGAGTGATCCCGCTTCTATATATATTGGCCTGTGTCTATGGCCACACCACCGATTGTCTGTTGAGTTTACTTTTCGTATTTCTTTACTTTCTGCCTTCTTTGCAACAAAGTCTATTATTTCTGTTGTTGTTCTAAGGAAGCCAAAAAAAAAAAAAACGGCACGCCATACTCCCTCCCCTTGCGCTCACGTATCGAGCTGAGAAGAGCGCGGAAAGAGACAAACACATCTATAGCAAGATCAAATTAGGCCGATCCACCTTCCCCCGTATTCCTTCTCGTTTTCTCCCTGGGTGTGCGTGATGGCGGTTCCCGGTTGGCTCCGCCGCTTTGAAATCTACGCCATCTGCATGGTGTGGCCCGTCGCGACTGTTGTTGGGCTGGTGTCGACGTACAGGATCTTCATGTGGAGCTACGGCGGCCGCGACTGCTTCCGCTACGTGGCGATCCAGGAGCCGTTTAAGGAGCAGTGGTACCAGGCAAACCCCAAGACAGCGCTCGGCATCGACACGCCGCTCGCGCACGTGCCAAAGTACCTCGAGTCACCAGGGCACAGCACCGGTGGGGAGGACCACGTGCACCACCGCAACTACTGAACTCGGCCAGCGGTGGAGATAGGAAGGGATAAAGAAACAAAGACGAAGGGGACGTGTTCGTGCCGTTGTACCTGTGTGCATGTGTGGCACACTTTTGGAGAGGTGGGAGTATGAAGGGATGCACTTGGTGGTAATGGTGGTGGTGGTGTGTGTGTGTGTGTGTGTGGGCGTCTGGCGTGGTGTGGTGTGGTTGACGGTCTGACTGCATGAATCCCTTGAGTCTCATCCCTTTTTTTTTCGTTTTGCGGTGTGTGCTGTTGATGCGGCTGCTGACCGCGTGTGTGCCACTTCCTTTCTTTGGCGCCTTTCGTTGCCGATCCTCTTTCCCCCCTTGGTCCTTTTTTTTTTTTGTCTTCTTTTTCGTCCTTCTCGTTGGTGCCATCACGCGCGTTGGACCAGTTGTACAAGGGCAGTGAGGGCACATTTGGATTGGGAACTCAAAGACGGATTAGGCGGGATTAGAGTGTTGCTCGGTTTATTTTCGCTTCAGCGTTTTGGGCCTTCGATAGTTCCCAGAACTGCGAGGAACGTAGAGGTTTCCCTACGCTACGGGAACGGAGGCAACAACAACAGCAGCAACAAAGAAAAAAAAAGGCATTGAAGGAGTATTTATTCCCGTTTTTTTTTTTTTTTNTTTTTTTTTTTTTTGCATACACACACACACACACGCACGAACATGGCGATGAAGCAACATATATTTGTTATTCGCTCGTCATACACCGCGTTATTTTACGCCATCATCGTGAGCACAGGGCTCCTGCTCGCCCTCTACGTTGGGCTATGGCTGCACCACGAGGATCTCCTCGCAACGCACTGCCATACCCCAGAGTACTGGCCAAGCATCAGCACTCTCACCGGCGACTTCCAACCAGAGCGACAGATCTGGCGCGTGGCGTTTGTTCTGTGCACTTCTTTTCGCCTGGGTGCGAGCATCTCGCTATTCTCTGTCTTCCGGCAGCGTGGGTGCGGGGGCATGAACAGCCTGAGTGGCTTGCTGCACTCCCCCGTGGCCCTCATCACGTCCTCTGCGTTCCTAACGCTAGTTATGTTCCTGTGTGACCTTTGCCGGCTTCTGGGCGGGCTGACCTGGACGATGGTGGCCTCTGCGGAGAATCTCAGCCGCCACGACGTGGGGTTCGCCTTCTACGTCTTCCTCGGCTTCCTCCTGCAGTTGGTCATGGACAGGCTGGTGCGACGCAATACATACAACCTCGAAATTTACGCTTCTCAGAGAGAGGCTCGCGTATCGTCTCGTTTAAAGCGTGTGTGTCTAATAGGACAGACAACGAGTGCGCTGTGCCTCGTCTTTTTTTACATTCGCCACGTGGCCACATGTGCGGCAGGAGCATACAGCCTGTCGACGATGAGTGAGTGGTCCTTCGCTTTCTTCAACATTTTCTTCGACGCCACCGCGTGGTACGAGCTGAAGAACGACGCGTGGGTCTTCGGCGCAACGCCGGAGCAGTACCAGCGTCTCGCGTTCAGAAGTGTCAATGCGCCAACTGAGGTTTACGGCAATGGTGTCGATCCGGAGACTGCGGAAACTACTCCGGTATGCTCTGTGCCTGTGTCGTCGGAAGAAGGTGGCATCATTGGGGCCAATGTGGTGGTGCACGAATTCACGTTAGCGTGTGCGCCGTCAACCGTCGCAATGTGGTTGGTGGATGTCTACTGGGCATACCTCTTCTGGGAGATGATCATTCATGTCGTGGAGCACATGTACTTCATGCCGATGGTGGCCATGTCTATGTCGTGGGAGTTGGTGAGCGTCGCTGCGTTTTGCTCGCCCGTGCTACTGAGGTTCGCCGCGTTCCGTCGCTGGGCGTTGGGCCCGGCACCCTTTGCCAACACTTTATTAAGGGGAGGTCCCAATGCGGGTCACCGACGTGCACCCATGTACGTGTTTTTCTACTTCGCTGCCGCCCTCTCGCATTTCCACATTCACGTGCGAAACGGAGAACGGTTGAAGCTTCTCGCAGTGACCGTTGGTCCCTTCTTCCTCTCGCTGGCCACCTTCTGTCGCTACCTTTATCCCACCGTGACAGTGAGCGATACTGCTGAAGACAGTTGTCGTCTGCTGTATTCGTTCCCCTTGGGCCTTGTGGTCACCATGTTGGTGCGTGTCCTTTTCATCACACAGGAGCCCGTATATACAGATCCACTATACAACGGCCTATTCGGTGTGGTTATTGGTATTGTTAGCACCACCGTCATCTACAGACATGTTATGTTTGTCAAACAACTACCAGATAACAACAGCAGCGTCGCAAAGGATGTGTCTGTCGACTCTGGTGGGTCTCGGCATGTTCACTTCACCGTGGAACGTCCCATCAACAGTATCACGGCGTTGGCGTTATCATACTCTCCATCGTCCCCTGCGATTATGGGTATGCTCTTCGGTCTACTCACTACAGCCTCCCTCACGTTTTACACGTGCGCCAACTACATCCCACGTCTCTTGGCGATTGACCCGTATCCAGCGAGCTTGGTTGTTATCTTCTTCTTTGTGATGGGTCTGTGCTACTCGCAGGAAATCGCCCCACTCGTGGGCACGGGCAAGAATGGTGGTGCGTCATGGCTTCGCCTTGGTATAGGGCTCCTTGGCGGATGCCTCACCATGCTTTTGTCTACTCGGCAGACAAACCGCTCATTCGAACTTAAGCATGACCACTACCCAACTACAATGAATAGCGTGAAGGAGCACGTTGACATCCGTTACTGGGATGCAGAAGAGGACTTTTACGGAAGCCCCTATATCGCTTTCGCTGGTGCACTCGTGATGACACTCTGCTTTGGTGCTTTGTATCCGCTCATCATTGAGCTTCTCTTTGCCCATCAGCGGGCACGCCGCCTTGCTTCAACTGATCGTGCAGACTCACAGGGTATCCCGTTCCAACCACATACACTCGAGGCGATGCGCGCGACGTCGTTTGAATTAGTGTGGTCACTCACAACTGTCCTGACAGTTATACTCTACCTGTTATGCATTTCGTATCCGTTTGTCCCTATGGCGTGGCTCGTACGCGAGCGCTCTGTTTCGATGCATTTTGGCAACATGGCTGGTATATTTATCCTTGCCTGGTACCTGGCGCGTCGGGTAGGGAATGGCGCTGCGGTGGCTCGTGCAGAGTCTGTCACCACGAAGAAGCAGCGACACATGCCCATTTTTGTGGTAATGCTCATTGGTGTAATGTTCTTTGTTGTTGTGATTTGCCGAACGGCGCTTGAGCCGTCAGATCGAAGTATTCCACCTGGGAAAGACATTGCCCGCCGTTTTCCGAAGGAGGTGGTACATGTGCATGAGGCTTTTAAAAAGATTCATGCGGAGAGCAATGCCGCCACAGACCCACTCATGGAGGAGTATGAGCGCACCTTCGTTCAAGAGCGCTACGAGGCACAGCTGAGGAACCTAGAGGCCGCGGTTACAGGAGAGGAAATCAGGGATACGAAGAATCCCAAAAAGGTCAAGGAGGAGGAGTTTGGCATCTCCCTCGCTCACCTCACGTCAGAGCAGCGGAAGGATGTGTGGGAGGCGGCGCAGGGAATGACATTCTTTTCGGGTATGATATGGACTGTTCACTTCGCCCTTGACAACGTCAACACCGACTCGCTGAAACGAATGGTGGAGCAGGCTGACAAAACAGGCGCTGGGGTGGTGGGTCTCCTCGAGAGCGACTCCATGCATGTACCCAACGGGAATCGCGACATGGTGGAGTTCATGTCGTATCATCTCGGTTACCGCTACACTAGCTATGGTCCCACAGCGCTCGACAACACGTACGGGTGTGGCATGATATCGAAGTACCCAATCTTACGCGTGCGGCGGTACATTATGCCGTCGCCGCTGGGTGAACTTTCTTGCATCATTCACGCGGAGTTGGACGTGTTCGGAATCACCATCCAGACGTGGGTTGGCCACTTCGGCAACACCGAGCATTGGGCCGATGGGTTGCTCCAGTCGCAGTTCCTTGGCCGCCTTGTCAGGCGCAACCCCGGTCCCTCCATGTTCCTCGGCTACGTCGTTTCGTACCCCGGCAACCCCGAGCGGTACCACCGCTACAGCTCCCCGACGGAGCGCGGCCTCCTCCGAGACACGGCGCTGGAGATGTATCGCAAGCATCCGTGGTACCGCATGCAGGAGCGTGGCGGCTACGACGAGCCGGAGCCGGCAAAGACGACCATTGCGCCAGACGCCGCGGTGGACTTCAACCTGGAGTGGAAAATTGAGCACGTCGCACCCCTGGAGGAGGGCATGGTGCCGGACATCTCGTTCCGCCGCACGCCAGAGGGGAAGGATCCACGTTACTTCAAGTTCAACGACACGCAACGCATCACCACCGTTCACCCCCGCCACGAGTTCATTGACCGCTACTGTCAGTATATTTTCTACAAAACTGGTGCAACCGAAGACGAGCGTCCAGAGGACGAAGCGAGGCTCCAGCCACTGCAGGTGTATTTGTACGACTGGTGGAGAGTTATTAATAATGAGACCTCAAGCCTCTCAGATACCGAGATTCAGGTGGTGCAGCTGGGATTTAAACTAAGAGCATAGGGAACGAATCACATCTTTTCTACGTCGGTTTTTTTTTTTCACTTTTCGTGGCCTTATTATCTTTAATGCTGGTGATCAAAATTAGCAGCGAAATAAGAAACTCACGTGACATGGACTCTGTACCTTCATACTTTTTGGGAGGTGGGTTCCGTACAAGTGATCGAAGAGCCACCAATAAAGGCGTTGAGAGGGTTCGTTTCTAAAACTTCTATCATAAACCGCAAGAACAGACTGTGTATTTTTCTTTATTATTCTTTCTTACCACCGGTACAGGTGGCGCGAGCTCTCCTTATTCCTATGGCTGGAATCACCTTCATGGATGCACCTCATTTCCCTTTTTTTTCCTTTTGTTGTTGGTGATTCATTACTGCCTTGTCGTGTCTTTGCGTGCACGTACACTCAGGAGTGACAGTATTGGCACCGCACCCGGTTTCGCAAGGAGTAAAGGGAAATGGTTTTGATCATCGATCAACTGGCGGCCGTATTTGGGAGTCTACTGCTTTTTTTGACGGGTGAAGGCAACGGCGACAAAAAGCCTGCCTCGGTCGGTTATGCCACAGGGGACATTTGCGTCCATGGAACGTGGGAAACGGGAAGGGGGACATGTAATTGCGCTTCTGGATGGACCACCAACAAGGAGCAAGACATACTCGCTGGTCCGTTCGTCTGGTGCAACGCCACGGCCCCACCGACCACAGAGGCCCCACCGAATGGTTGGTCGGCATCAGCACTCGGCGGTCTTTCGAGTGGCCTTCTCGTCATCGCGCTCCTCGTTTTGCTTGGGCTTGCCTTCCTGTTTGCCTGCTGCTTCTGCTGCCGTCGCCGCAGCTGTGGCGAGCGTCATTCCAGCGCAAACGTTCAAGGAGCCAACAATCAACAGCAGCCACCCCTGGAGGTGTTTGGTGTGCCTTTTCAGCAAAACCAGCCGGTGTTCTCAACCACTCCGAGCAGCCCCATGTACATGATGCCCTTGCCCATGTACGCAAATGCCACCGTGAGTGCACCAACCTCGCCCATGTCCCACAGCGTGCAGGCCAGTTTCGGTCCAACCTTCTTGAACAATGAGCCGTATGGAACGCCACACAGTCAACAAATGGACCCGCAGCAGGCGGTTCCTGGCTTCCACCTGAGCATGAGCCGGCCGCCACAGCCGCTGTCCACAGATGTTGGTGCTGGTGGTGGCAATGCTCATGAGGAGGGCGTGTCGGCTGCAGAGCGCGACCCCTCTGTATTCACGAACGATAATTTTCATCTGCCGAGGACACCACGGAGCGCCCTCTTCGCAGCGAAGCAAAATGACGATGGCCATGCGAACGGCTAAACGTAGTAAAAACAGTGCAACACGTTTGTGTTTGCTTTGGCGTTTTTTATTTGTTTTTCCATTTTCTTTTTGCTTTCTATTGTTCGTTGTTGTTTATATATATATATATATATATATAGTTTTTGGGGGGGTTAGCTTTCTTATTTGTGATGGCTCCTTGCTACGTTCTGATTTCTTTTGCTGTTTTCCACGTGCAGTGTATCTTTTTTTTTTTCCGTCGTCTTTTGTTTTGTGTTCTCATCGTATTCGACTTCAATTCTCACATTGCTCTCTCTGTCTCTTTGTCTGGCGTGCACCAGGGGCCGGCGGCTGGAGTAGTTGCAAGGGGGTTGCCGCCTCCTCAACGGTTGCTCGCGCCGCCGCCCCCGCACTCAGGGGCCGCATGTGAGGCACATAATGAAGGGCACTGAAATAAGGGGTTGCCGCGATACGGAGTGGTGGTGGTGGTTCTTTTTGGGGTGCTTTGTTTGGTGTGGCTTGCTGTTGCTTCGGATGTGCTCCGCTCGACGCCTCTCTTGTTTGCTTTTTGCTCTTTTTTTTTTAATTCTCTCTCTCTCTCTGTTTTCTGCGCAACGGCGCCCTTCCACATTTGTCGACAACACGTGCAGAGTCGGACGACGCAAGTCACACATGTCGACTAGGTACTCCGCCAGCCCGTACTACAACAACGGCGACGCTGCATCCGCCTCGTCGCTTCTTAGCACCAATCAGGTGGTGTTCTGCGTGAACCCCGTCCTCTTCCAAAACTGCGGACTCCTGCTGGAGACGCCCAGCGGACTTACCACGTCAGCCATCATGAAACTGCGGCAGGAGTCGCCGAACAGAACCGCAATCTCGCTTTCCATGTGGATAGACATCGCCGTCAGTGTGATTGGAATGCGGGAGTCCGTCGCCTACTCCATCTTTGACGTGGTCTACGCACTCACAGGGAGCTGTATACAGGCTTCACTGTCATCGCAGACGAACGGCAACTCCACGAGCCTTAAATCCACCGCGGAGTATCGTCAGGAGGGCAATCGGGCGCTTCTTAAGAAGATGGGGGGAACTATAGATGAGGCGCGCTGGCCTGCAGCCTCCGCCTCGCGGCAGCTAAGTCTACCGGCGCTTACCATTTTTCTTCTTGCGCAGCTCATCCTCGAGCACCCGCCAAGGCCGATGCTGGGGGAAATTAGTCAGGAGCTCGTCATGAGCAGCGTGCGGCAGCACCTGCATGACTATATTACAGCTGTGGCGATCACCCGACCGGGGCGTCTTACGATGGCAGACGCGCAGGAGCTGCGTATTCTTCTGCGTGAATTTGTCAATGGGGTCGAGCAGCCGTTCGGCACAAGCATCGGCTTCCTGTGGCCACGGTCAGAGAAGACCATCGATATTACAATTTTGTCGCAGTTCATACGTCCTAGAATCATGCTTCCAAGTGAACTGGCCGCCAGCACGACATCATCGCCATTTAGCAACAATGTTATTGTGAAGGGTTTGCGTGGTACTATATACATCCCGCCGTACCCTGTGATGCCGAGCAGCAGCGCGAGACTGGTGGCCTCTTCAAACTACGCTATTGAAAGAAGTTCCCAATCGAGTTTTTACATCACATCAGACCTACCGAACACGCGCCTCTCCCAGCTTGCCAACTGCACTGTAGCGCTGGGGCCTGTTGGTGGCGTCTTGTGCGTCGACCGTTGCGAGAACACCAGTATCTCAGCTCTGTGTGGTGCCATTGTTGTGAGTCGGTGTCGGAATGTGACCATTTTTGTTTGCACCAACACGCCACCAGTGCTTTGCTTACATGAGGGTGCCGACACGCTAGAGAACGTCCGTTTCGCCCCGTACAACTCGCATTACTCCACATTGGAGGAGCACCTTGCGAGCTCCGGCGTGAATCCTAAGCTGAATCTGTGGAACGTGGGACTTCCCTCACCGCAGTACATTCTTCCCCCGGATGAATTTACGCCGCTCTGCTTCCCTGTCGCGCCACACACAAACGCTGTTGTCACGACACGCACAAATCCATGTCCCCTGGCCCGCCCCTATGCGGATGCGTTGGAGCGGCGCGTTCAGCGGTTTCAGGAAACATCGAAGCAGCTAGAGGCGGCTTACCAGCGGCTCACGGATGAGGGCAAAAAGGATTTGGCGAACGAGCTGCGCGGAAAGGTGCACACAATGTTCATTGAGTGGCTCCGCCGCGCCGGACAGGAGAAGGGGCTTGTCAGTCTGCTGCACCAAAGCACCGACAGCCACTTGCAGACTTAGAAGGGTAGGGTGAAACGAAAGGTAGAAGGGGNCTGCTGCACCAAAGCACCGACAGCCACTTGCAGACTTAGAAGGGTAGGGTGAAACGAAAGGTAGAAGGGGTGATGATGGTGAAGGTCTTGAGAGTGGTGGCGATGGTGTGGGAGGTGCATGGTGCCTCTCCCCTCGCTCATTCTCTTTATGTTTTTTTCTTCTCTTGTCTTCTTCACTGCGCCCGCCGTTCGTGTCTCTCACCGTCCCGCGTGCGTGTCTTGACTTTTGTTTCTTGGTTGAGAGGCGGCACTCCTTTGAGCACGCTCTTGTGTGTGGTGGTGTATATGAAGCGGGCGCTTCTTCTGAAGACGAGGGAGGGGGTGGATGGTGTTTGCTCCCCACCCGCTTCACTCTTCTTGTGGTGTTTTCTTTATTTTGTATTTGTGCTGTTTTCTTGTTGTTGTTTTTTTTTTTGGG